GTGCGTGCGTGCGCAAATCTTTCATGAAGTACAAAGGTTATGGGGAAATGCTCATCAGGGATGTTTTTCGCACCCCTGCACCCCGCTCTGGATCCACCCCTGCTACAAGCGCCTGAATCAGTCCAAGGCACCGGGTACATCGGAAATAGACTGTCGTACGTACGTCCTTTATGATCGGCTTAAAAAGAACAAAACACCTGAAAGAGATTTGGTGGTGCCTCACAGCTCATAAACAATCTGTACGTGGTGCAAACACATCACAGATATCGTATCCGATTGCAACGTTGCTAGATGTTCCTTGCCCATCATAGATTCAGTCAACCCCACAAAACCGTTTAACTACAGACGAGATCATAGACACCTTGACCAGTTCCTGTGAAGGTCTGGTTTAGAATTGGTCTTCAGTAACCCATGCTTGTCGTAAGAGTCGACTAACGGGATCGGGTGGTCAGGCTCGCTGACTTGGTTGACACATGTCATCGTATCCCAATTGCGTAGATCGATGATCACTTGATTGTATGGTCCAGACTCGATTATTTACAGAACGCCCCCATATAGCTTGAATAATGCTGAGAGCGGCGTAACAACTAAACTCCCTTACTCACTCTCCTTGACCAAATGACAGGGGCGCGTGACTACATTCAGAAAAGGCCTTTGAAGTCCTTTGACATATCGTTATTTCTTCGATCGAAAATCCTGGAAGCCACGGAGGACGTAATGGTTCCGATGGACTCCGCCTGCACTTAACACCGCTTGGAAACTCGTGTGTTGTTCTTGGGGCTGTGGGGTGTCCCAGTGATTAATGCGTTGTCATGTCAACGCCCAGGACATGAGTCAACCCACGAGGTACGAGGGCCATTAAGGGGGCGGTGGGGTAGCCAAGTGGTTAAAGCGTTCGCTCATTACATATAGAAGACCCTGACTCAATTCCCCCTAGGCTACTGTGCACAAAGTCTGTTTCTGGTGAAATTGCCGGAATCGGCGTAAAAACATACTTACTGACGATGGCCATTAAGCTTACCTCACTCACTCACCTAAGCTGTACCTATGTCGTGATGCTGCTACAGAGTACAATGGCCATTGATTGCATCTCCATTGACTAAGCATTTCTTACTCGTGAAAATCCGGGTTGGAATTGTTGAGAGATTGAGAGGCTAAATGGTACAGCTTCGATGTATTTTGTTCGTGTAAACACACACCGTTTGTCAATCAGTAAGTTGAGTTTAGTTTTACGCAACTTTAGCTACATTCCAGCAATATCACGGCGGGGAACACCAGAAATTGGCCTCACGCGTTGTACCCATGTGGCTAATCGAACCCGGGTCTTCAGCGTGTCAAGCGAACTACTAGCCTCCCCCACCAACCCTTTATCAAGCAGACTGAGGGTAGATAAGGGATGAAGCTATTTCACCTGACATGTTTTTCACTCGATTAAACCGTCGTTGTTATTGTCAGGCTGTATTTCCTCACTGACTGATAACAAAGACTTTTTAAATACCACTCACAAATCGAATCTAGCGATTGATCGATAGATCGACGTATGACATATCCCTAGGCACAACGTTTGTGACATCGGTAAGAAGTTTGAAAAATATGGATAGATCGACATAAAATGAGGAATTAACCTATAATCAACCCATCTTGTAAAACGTTACTTTTCTCTTTCGACAAAATTTTTTGTGTGTATGTTTGCAGAGACTTAGTTTACGAGAAAAATATGTCTTAGTTTAAGAGACAAGTATACTCAGCGTCAAAAGTTATTGAGACACTGGTAATCGTGTAAATGAATTTATGGATTTGAACCAGAGGAGTGCGTTAAAATGGTCGAAGATACACAACTGAACAGTAGTTTGAAAAGCACGAACTTTGCAAGAAGCATGAATAATGGTCTCCAATATTCTCTTTAAAAAGCCAGCCACTTATAATTTCAGCTCAATGCAGTCTTAATAATGCAGACCCATAAAAAACCCAGCTCTGTTCATTGTGCTGGAACAAGTTCGACATCTAACGCCTCAGGGGAAATGACTATAGGGCAATAGGTTCTGCCTGGAACATCGCAGCGTGACGTTGCTCGTCACTATTTGCACTTATTTCCACGCTTTCAGCAAAATAATCAAGTTATAGACCAACTGTAGTATCCACCCACCAGTAACGACACAACGTCAAGACCGCTGGAATCGAACCACGCACATCCGACACAGGTTCCAGCCAGCAAGCCATACAGCCCACACCATACCAACCAACGGAGGTATATCTGCTAGAACAGCTGGACGACGTTTACGTGTCTCCGGCTTCCGTGCAAGACGCCCATCCCGAAGTCAGACGCCAGAACATTGACGTCGACAGACAGTGGACCGAATTGCGATCGGGACCATGTGAGCGGAGATGAGTTCTTTTCTCCGATGAGTCACGTTTCCTTTCCCCCAGGATTACCGCAGGATAGTTAGTGAGTGAGTTTTACGCCGCCTTCAGCAATATTCCAGCAAAATCACAGCGGGGACACCAGAAATGGGCTTCACACATTGTACCCATGTAGGGAATCGAACCCGGGTGTTCGGCGTGACGAGCGAACGCTTTAACCACTATGCTAGCCCATCGCCCTGACCGCAGGACACGTGTCATGCGTTCTGGGTCTGTGATGGGAAACAGAAACAGTAAGGACGTTGGTGATTGTAAGGTATCGACACTAGATGTTGCAAAAAGCCACTCGTTTTTGCAACAGAAAGGTCCCGGAGTGTCGTTCAACTAGATAAATCCAGATCGAGTTGCTCGAGTTATACAGCAGGGTCTCGATCTACAAAGTGTTCGTAACGTTACGACCTGTCGTAACTCTTTAGTTTATCATAGGCTTACAAATGTCGTAGCACTATGAACGTTTTGTGTATCGGGACCCAGGGCCCTTATTCTCGAAACGTTCGTAGCCCTAAGAATTCGTAACTTTGATCTCAGCCAGCGTGTTAAGAATGGGCTTAAGAAGTTCGTAGGGCTACGAACGTTTCGAGAATAGCTAGCCTGGATCTTAATCAGATGTTGCTCTGGCCCACAAGATCCAAGATTTTCATGTCTGTGATGAAACAGAGCGATGTTTACGACGTCTTCCGAATCCTCCAACAGCGCTGCAGGAGCTTCCTTTGGACATAGAATGTTCTTCCTCGGGACTTTCATTTGGCCTCAAAGAGGCGAAGGTGCCTGGCCTGCATCAATGCACAAGATGGACACACTCGCGGCTACTGACAGTGTGAACTTGTGACCCCCATCTTGTGTTATAGGTCATATACATGTGATATCGACCCATGTTCTTATTGACCGTTGACCGTTACCATAATATTATACTTTTGTCTTTCCATATTAAAATATTTCATTCGCGGCAGTTAAAGCTTATTACCGATTGTGTTTGTAGTCTGTGAGTCACAATGCCTTTTGTTTTTAGGTATATTATTTGAGTTTCACCGGAAGAATATTGAGGAAGAAAAACGGTAATGAATTTTGGTAATAGTTTATGTAGTCAAGACTGGCTACACGTGAACATATCCCACAAAATATACATTATCATGTCTTTTAGAATGTTCAGTAAAGATGTCGGTGAACTAGCACCTTGAGTGAGTGAGTGGGTGAGTGAGTGAGTGAGTGAGTGAGTGAGTGAGTGAGTGAGTGAGTGAGTGAGTGAGTGAGTGAGTGAGTGAGTGAGTGAGTGAGTGAGTGAGTGAGTGAGTGAGTGTTTTTTTGTGAACAACAAGAATTTTTATGAAACTTTTTATTGACACTTTTTTGTGCGGTGCGCAGAATTTATATAATTATGTGTTAAAATTTGAGTGATAATGACAATTCTATTAAAACCATACATCAAATAGCCAAACGCCAACTTTGAAGTGAAATAAGGACAGCTACACTCAAAATTCCTGATTTGTTTGCTTGTTTTTTTAACGCCGCAATATTCCACCTTGGTAATATGCGTTGGTAAATAATCGAGTCTGGACCAGACAATCCAGTGAATGACATCAATTACATCATTGCAGTTAGGAGACAATGAAATGAACCAGCCAAGTCAGCGATACCGTTAGCCTTCCCGTTAGTCACAACAAGCATGGTTGCTGCCGCTACACACCAATGGTAACCCGGTATTCACAGGTTGATATTGAAGAATGTAAGACATAACGCTACCCTGAGTGGTAGTGAAGTTTCATTTTTCAGAAGTACTGTTTAAAAACGGCTTGCTACCTTTTCCGGAAAGAAACAAGAGAGTGAGTGAGTGAGTATGGTTTTACGCCGCTTTTAGCAATATTCCAACAATATCATGGCGGGGCACACCAGAAATGGGCTTCACACATTGTACCCATGTGGGGAATTGAACTCGGGGCTTCTGCGTGACGAGCGAACACTTTAACTACTAGGCTACCTCACCGCCTCGGAAAGAAACAAGGGAAGGAACCCAAAACTAAGCAGTTAGAGCTAAAACTATGTAACGTCACATCGGCAGTATTTCAGTCATATCTGTTGGTTCACTGAAAACCAAGGATCGGTAGCATTGTTAAATTTGAACCCGACCTCAGCATGTCAGTCACAATTAAGTGACGCAACTCTTTACAGATCCACAGATCAATATAGCAGGGTGTCCTTATTGATATCAGCTGGATATCAGTTACACGTGGTACAATGGACTTTAACGTACAGATTCTAGTCCTTGTGTTGGGTTGAGTGCCACCCGAGGTTCGAACCCACACACTCAGAGTCAGGCATCTAATCACCAGCACACAAAGTCAGCGATCTAACCCACTCAGCCATCGCCGCTTACACGAGAATAGAAGTCTGAAAACTGGCAGTCCAGATCACGTAGTTTGTGTACCCCTCTGATGAGTGAAAATTGCACGGCTGCCATCGTACAAAAATATGAATACAAAATGTCATTTCGAAAGTGGTAAAATGTAAACAAATTTAGGATTACACTTTTTTCAGTGTCTCACTCTCAGTGGGTTTGAATCCCGGATGGGACTCCATCCTTAGAATCTTTACTGAGAAAGTGTAATTCCAAATATAACTCATTACATATGACCACTTTCTGAAAGGCTGTGTGTATTCAATGTTGTCAGGTTGTATTATGGAGCCAAGTCCATTTGATCCAGCTGCAGAAATGCCTGGCCTATGACCTTGTCCACGCCACGAACAGGCCACTTCAGCTGATCCAGAGGAGCAGTTAAAGCTCCTCCTGTACAGTCGGACTTGAACCACCACCCCCCTCCCACCGTCTTGGCACACCCCCAGCAGTCCTTGTCCCAGGTACAGAATCTCCGCGGCTTGTCACTGTCATCAAAGGCATCATCCCCCCACTCATGGTCTCTGGAAAAGACGCTGAGGAGATTAATCTGATAGTCAGTTGCCTCCGTTGTCAACGTTGTACTTTCCATGTACACACTGGCAACACTAGGAGTCCCTTCTACAACGTTGTAGATGTTCCACTGGTATTGGTTGTAGAAGTTGAGTTGGTAGATGGTCTCCAGTCCGAGGAAGTACTCGCAGTTGACGTCGCCGAAGCCGTGTTTGTACTCCTCCCACGTCCTGTTGTAGCTGATGCCGGGGCACCAGGATGGGACAGGGTTGTACCTCCTGAACACCCACACCGTCCCCGCGTTACAGTTACAGTACACGGTGAAGGCGACAGGAGAGGTTGCCGGTTGCACTTTATAGAACCCAGTGCCCGTCACGCCTAGCTCTGTACCCTCTTTGCAGCCTGGAATAATGATATATGATGTCTACTGAACTTTGTTGTATTTTCTGCACATCAAAGCTACAAAAGCAGTTCTACCGTTGTACGATTTAGTCTGAATCGTGAGTGAGCGTGTGAGTTTAGTTTTACGCCGCAATATTACAGCTATTTGGCGGTGGTCTGTAAATACTCGAGTCTAGACTAGACAATCCAGTAATCAACAGCATGAGCATCGATCAATTGGGAATACGATGACACGTGTCAACCAAGTCAGAGAGCCTGACCTACCGATCCCTTTACTCGCCTATTACTACAATCATAGGGGCGGTGGGGTAGCCTAGTTGTTACAGTGTTCGCTCGTCACGCCGATGGCCAGGTTTCGATTCCCCACATGGGCACAATGTGTGAAGCCCATTTCTGGTGTCCCCCACCGTGATATTGCTGTAACATTGCTAAAAGCGGCGTAAAACCCAACTCACTGACTCACTTTCCAATAGTGGTGATACAACGTGTCATCTTCAAGGGAAGCTCTGTCTGCATCAGAATCCACTTGAATACACAGAAATATATTTCATAATCTCAGACAGGCTCTCTTGTCGTCAGTTTCAGGTGTTTAAGGTAATACTATTATGATAATATTGTTAAACAATTTACGATTGAACAGTTCATTTTACAATAACCAATCACAACACCTGTACTTTCAGTTTACCTAAACTCTGTGCATTGCCTGTTAGTGCTATGTTGTTCATTGCGACGCCTACAAACAGTTAGGTATTCAGAAACCAGATATTTTTGGTTTGTTTTTCATTGTTGAAGACCCGACAGGCAAGTTTGTATCCGGACTGGTAATTTTTTAAAGTTACCAGTCCGGCTGTCTGGCTTGGAATTTGGGGCGTGTAAACACTGCTTAATAGTTCTTACACTGCTGTTTGTCTGTTGTGCAACGCTGTATTCAGCAATATTTCAGCTACATGACTCGAAATAATACACAAAATAATCGTGTTTGGACCCGAAAATCTATTAACATCGATCTACGCAATCAGGATACGATAACATGTGTCAACAAGCCTGTCCACCTGATCCCATTAGTCGCCTCGTACGACAAGCATAGGTTGCTGAGGATCCATTCTAGCCCGGATCTCACAGGTGTTTTTCATTGCTACAAGCAGTACGCTATCAATACTTACTGTAAATATATCTGCCACAGTACTGTCCTGCATATCCAGGAATACAGATGCAGATAGTTCCAGTCCAAGTACCGCCATTTTTACATGGATTCAAGGCTCTCTGAAGATGAAGAGTTAAGGAACATGACCACCAATTACCTGTCTACAGAATTCAGGGTAATTACAACATCTGTAAGCAATGCAGCGGGCAGGGTCGGTTGGGCGTACAACCTAGGTCACAAGATTATAGTCAGTGAGTGAGTGAGTTTAGTTTTACGCCGCTCTCAGCAATATTCATGCTATTTGGCGGCGGTCTGTAAATAATCGAGTCTGGACCAGACAATCCAGTGATCAACAGCATGAGCATCGATCTGCGCAATTGGGAACCGATGACAGGTGTCAACCAAGTCAGCTAGCCTGACCATTCGATCCCGTTAGTCTCCTCTTACGACAAGCATGGGTTACTGAACATCAATATTCTAACCCGGACCTTCACGGGTAGGTCACTAGATTATAACGGTTTACTCAGCAATTTTGCAGATTTATTTCGTCGCCTTTAATCAATCAAGTCTGGACAAGGCATTCCAGTGATCATTGGAATGTGATGTCTTGCCAACGACCAAGTCACAGAGGCTGACCGTGATTTCTTTAGCCGCGTCGTATGACAGGCAAAGATTGCTGGGAAAGAAAGGTATAGGTTTGCTTGGGACGACAGACATACGTTGGTGGGGACATCAGACGGGGGCGACAGGCATAGGCTGGTGGGGACGCCAGGCATAGGTTAGTGGGGACGCCAGGCATTGGTTGGTTGGGCCGTCAGGCTGAGGTCGGCAGGCATATGTTGGTGGGGACTACCCGTTATGTGAACATAATACGACTCGCTTGACAACAACCAACACAAACGACGCTTATTTTAACATATATATCATCAATATAGGAAGTCATATACCAAAGCATCTTTGCGTTGTAAATGTCTACATCCGTTCTTTGATGTCATCCCACTACATCCTGAGCTGGACACGTCGCCAAGAATGTCGCACGTCACTGCACCGTCATCCCTCTTGCACGCGTTGACAGAGAAGCACCCGAATGTACGTGCGCATATCATTGCGCACTCGACGGCGTTTAGTGTAGTAGTGGACTGGAAGGGGTCGATGGCATATACCACTTGGTGGCTACATCCGGGTAATCCAATGAAGTCCGCCATGTCCATACTGGTATAAACAACGATTGTATCGAAGACCAGCAGAGACGCTATGATCAGCTGACCATGATTGGTTGGAATGTATTTTACCATCATCCTGTCAAAAAAAAAACAAAACAAAATAATTATCTTGAACAAACATAAATCACGCTCTTCCGTGTAGTGAGTGAATACTGTCTTAAACCGGAAATCAGGAATGATGTCTGATGCAAATCCTTACATGTGTTTTTTTTATTATCCACAATATATGGATTCCTGGAAGGGACATTGTCGCGTTGTCGCATTGTCGCGTTGTCGCCCTCTCAAATACAAGCAAAATTAAACAAAACGCGACACGCGACATCGCGACAACGCGACATTTCGCCATTTGTCGCATTGTCGCGATGTCGCGTGTCGATGAAAGATTTCCATTAAGTTCAAGATAAGCAGCCCCCATATAATATGTCGCATTGTCGCGTGTCGCGCTTTGTTAAAATATTGAGTATAGTATGTATTATAACATATGACTAAAACGCGACACGCGACAATGCGACATATTATATGGGGGCTGCTTATCTTGAACTTAATGGAAATCTTTCATTGTTGCTTTATTATTTTATATATTGTAACTGTGTTTAGGCAATCAAGTGTGTTTTAGCAGCCAGACAATTATTAGCGCTACTATTCATTGTAATGACGGCACACGGTGGCCCTGTCATTCAAGGCGAGGCAATTTGTTATGCAGGGTTGTGTCTCTTAGTCTTAGTTTTGCACCTGCTGTTAAACTGGCAAAATATGGTCACTTATGCGGTGGTGTATGCGTATGTATAAAGAAGAAGTTCAGTGAGCATTTCCAGATACTCACGATGGGGGTGGACAACTTTATTTGTATAAAGATTGGCAAAAATGTTTTTGGTTTTACCAAGGATATTATACTTATCTGCGTATATATCCCTCCCACGGTATCAAATTATTATCACACAGTTAACTGCTCTTGTGCACTCGATAAGCTTGAGGAATTCCTATTTGAAAATATTTCTTCCTTTAGTAATTGTGCAATTCTTCTTTGTGGCGATATGAATGCTAGAACTGCAAGTGAGAACAATCCGTGTTCACCTGAGGCTGAAAACGAGGCTGACGATATTATCGGTTCTTCCTTTATTGATGGGGATAATGATCCTGTCAGCGAGAGGAAATCCAGCGATAGTGTGATAAACGCTTTTGGTCGAAAATTGTTAAATATATGCTACACATATGGATTGTTCATTGTTAATGGCAGAGTACCTGGCGATGCTAAAGGTGAATTTACGTTCATAAGTGCACAAGGAAGTAGTGTAAATGACTATTTTATCTCTTCAGCTGAGTTTTTCGACATAATAGCTATGTTAAATGTGGGTCAACGTCTTGAAACTGACCACCAGCCCTTGGAGCTTTTTTGTTACTCTCCTAATTCGCTGTCAGATAAACAACCAGGCATTACACTTAATCTCGCGGAAACGTACAGGTGGAACAGTGCTTTATCAGATCACTTTATAGCTTGCCTAACAGGCAAAGCTAATGCCTTTTTTCACAGTTTAACTGAATATATAGATACTAATCTAGATGGTGCTCTTAGCCAGTTCGTAAGTCATCTACTGGATGCAGCCAAATGTATGAAAAGACCAGCTTTTAGATGCCAGACTTTAAGACGCCAACCCTTAAACGACGAGTGTAGGTCTGCAAAGCGTGAAGCGAGGAGGGCGCTTAGGAAATTTAGACTTACACGAAACGACTACAACAGAAAGACTTTTTGTACTTTGAGAAATAAATATAAAGAATCATGTCGAAAATATAAGAGCAAAACAAGAGATCTCCCATTGAAAAAACTTAACACTTTCACTCAAAATTCTGGTAAATTTTGGCGGGAGATTCGTTCCTTGAAAAGTAAAGATAATGTGGTTTGTAAGATAACAACTGACCAGTGGTTGTTACACTTCCGTTCTGTCTTTTCACATTTTCATGAAAAATATGAATGTAATGATACAGCTAGCTTGCAGGAATCTAAGGCTAGTTTGGAGACCAGTGGTTATACAGAACTTGATGCTGAAATCCTTGATTCAATAATAACCGAAACCGAAATTGTCGATGCCATAGGAAATCTTAAAAACGGAAAATCACCTGGTCCGGACAAGATTTTAGTGGAGATGTTAAAAGCTTCCCAAGACATTATATTGCCATTTTTACATAAATGTTTTAACTATGTTTTTAAGACTGGATACTTTCCAAGAACCTGGGCACAGTCTATCATAGCACCTCTACATAAGAAGGGTGACACCAATAACCCTGACAATTACAGAGGCATATCTCTGACGAGTAGTATTGGTAAATTGTTTACATCTATCCTCAACAAAAGATTGAACATGTGGGCTAATATTAGAGATAAAATTCCTGAAATACAAGCTGGCTTTAGGAAAGGTTATTCCACATCTGATCATATTTTTACATTGTATGCAATTGTGCAAAAGTACTTAATAAGAAGAAAACGTAAATTATATGTAGCATTTATTGACTTTAGGAAAGCATTTGACTCTGTAAATCGACAGAAATTGTGGGCTTGTTTAAAGCGGGCGGGATTAGATGGGAAAATGTTATTTATGTTACGAGGTATTTATGCCAGCGTAAAGGCTTGTGTGCGTAGCAATGGGGGATTCACTGACTATTTTGAGTGCCCACTGGGTGTGAAGCAAGGATGTTTGTTAAGCCCTATTCTCTTTTCCTTCTTCATTAGCGAATTGGAAAATGCAATAATTCATAAAGGCAAACATGGTGTACAACTATATCCTGATATTTTGGAGATTTTAATGCTACTGTTTGCTGACGACGTGATATTAGTATCGGACTCAGTGGTAGGTTTACAGAACCAATTAGACATTCTGGAGAACTACTCGAAAGAATGGAAATTAGATGTTAATATTGATAAGTCAAATATTGTTGTATTTGGGAAGGGGTGGACCAATCGCTAATGGCGAAAAATGGTCTTATAACGGCATTCCAATGCCAATAGTTTCTGAATACAAATATCTTGGAATACTTTTAAATTATACATTGAATATGGGTAAAACTGCTATTGCCTTATCAGCAAAAGCAAAAAAGGCTCTGGGGTATCTGCTTTCATCACTATATCCATTAGCGCCAATAACACCAAAGATGTTTTTTTAAACTTTTCGATGCACAGATACAACCAATGCTTTTGTATGGGGCGGAGATATGGGGTTTCCAGACTTTTGAACCGATTGAAAAGATACATCTATTGGCATGTAAGAAGTTCCTTAATGTTAACATTACAACACCAAACTATATGGTATATGGAGAATGTGGAAGATACCCACTTTATATAAACTCTCACCTTCGCTGCATAAAATACTGGTTCAAAATACTGAAAATGCATGAACAGCGTCTACCAAGAAAGTCATATAACATGCTACTTAATTTAGATAATATTGGTTATGTAACATGGGCATCAAATATAAGATATCTGTTATTTTCGTATGGATTTGGATATGTGTGGATTTTCCAAGGTGTCGGTAACGAGTGGCTGTTTATGAATGAATTTCGCCAAAGAGCCGTGGATATGTTTCGCCAGAAATGGATGAATACCCTTAATCTAAGTTCAAGATTTGATGTATATAGATCCTTTAAAACATTGATCGAACCTGAGACATATCTATCAAACATTACAAGCAAGAAATTTAGAAATACAGTTATTAGATTGAGACTTGGCTTGACAGATATAATGATCAATACTGGCCGTAACAAGTCACTCGCCAAACATCTCAGATTTTGCCCTGTCTGTATGGCGGATATCGAAGACGAATATCATCTGTTATTTATATGTGACGCTTATGCCGATTTAAGAAAGGAGTACATTCCACAAAAATATCTGGGTCACCCCACAAGGGAAACACTTATAAGAATTTTATCATCAAACGACGAATCTGTCCATGTAAAATTAGCCCTGTTTTTAACACATTCGCTGTCTTTAAGGAAGAGTCTAATTTCTCCTGTCAACTAATCTAACAATGTTATGATGCTTTCCACTGTTTGCAATGTCCATACCTTTCCTGTCATTACAATACTATGTATACGGGCCAGAGGCCTTATGTACAATAAACCATCTTGATCTAATCACACTAGATAACTATGATCATAGGTTCGAATCCCAGCATCATACACATTCATCACTTTGAACATTCCACCTATATCAAGCTCACAGGTTGTGAAAAAACTCAAATATTGTTAAAATTCAGGCCACATCGGCATAAACATCAGGTGAAGTCCTCCAATGGGTCAGTATGTTCGACAGTGTGGCCCTTGACAGAGCTTCTTGGTACAGTCCTGTCGGACGCTAATGAATTTGTCCGACATCTGCCTCTGTTCAACCAGCAGTGGATGGATACCAGGTAGAATGAGATGGTAATATCACTTAACCATCCAGCACCTCAAAGACAGTTTAGGTCGGCTTTGAACGTGATATTCTTCTTGGGAAAACGCCATACAAATGGACTGTTATCATTATGATATTAGACACAATGAAATCGCTTAGCAGAGAGGCTCCACTCCACTGCGCACCGCTCCGCCCCACTCCGCTCTTCTCCAACCCGCTCCTCTCCGCTCCACTCTCCTCCCTCTCCTCTCTCCTCTCCTCTCCTCCCTCCCTCCCTCTCCTCCTCCTCTCCTCTCCTCCTCCACCTCCTCCTCCTCCTCCTCTCCTCTCCTCTCCTCCTCTCCTCTCCTCTCCTCTCCTCTCCTCTCCTCCTCTCCTCTCCTCTCCTCCTCCTCTCTCTCCTCCTCCTCTCCTCTCTCTCCTCCTCCTCCTCCTCTCCTCCTCTCCTCTCCTCCTCTCCTCTCCTCCTCTCCCTCTCCCTCCCTCCTCCTCACCTCTCCTCCTCCTCCTCTCCTCCTCCTCCCTCCCTCCCTCTCCCTCTCCTCTCCTCCCTCTCCTCCTCTCTCCTCTCCTCTCCTCTCCTCTCCTCTCTCCTCCTCTCTCCTCCGCCTCTCTCCTCTCCTCTCCTCCCTCCTCTCCTCTCCTCTCCTCTCCTCTCCTCTCCTCCCTCCTCCTCTCCCTCTCCT